ATGTAGGTTGTCTACAAACCGAAAGGTTGGTAGTTTGATCCCCGGTTCCACCTGACCAAGTGTTGAAGTGTCCATGAGCAAGACACCTAACCCTATAATGTTAGCCTGTGCAGTACAATTCTCTGAACTCTCTTGATCAATTATTATAAAAAAAAGTTGAACTACTTCATGTGAATGGCTATAATCGATGGCTTCAACATGTAGCCTTGAAATGAATGCTCAGATCTTATAAACAAGTTAGAACACGCGACATTAAAACGTCATGAACATTTTCAGACAGATCGGACGAAATATGCCTATATAACAGTTAAAAAGGTGAAAATGATATCAACATGATGGTCTATTAAGCCAATAAGTGGAGTTTTACTGCCCCCTGCTGTTCAAAATTGTCATTTGTCATGACTACTCAACTATAATTCATATTATGACTTTATCAATTCACTAGTTTAACAATAATCACATAATCACAATAATTTTGTCAAAAAGGGTAGGGGCGGCAGTGGCTCAGTGGTTCATGTAGGTTGTCTACAAACCGAAAGGTTGGTGGTTCAATCCCCGGTTCCACCTGACCAAGTGTCGAGGTGTCCATGAGCAAGACACCTAACCCCATAATGTTAGCCAGTGCAGTACAATTTTCTGAACTCTCTTGATCAATTATTATAAGAAAACGTTGAACTACTTCATGTGAATGGCTATAATCGATGGCTTCAACATGTAGCCTTGAAATGAATGCTCAGATCTTAAAAACAAGTTAGAACACGCGACATTAAAACATCATGAACATTTTCAGACAGATCGGACAAAATATGCCTATATAACAGTTAAAAAGGTGAAAATGATATCAACATGATGGTCTATTAAGCCAATAAGTGGAGTTCTACTGCCCCCTGCTGTTCAAAATTGTCATTTGTCATGACTACTCAACTAGAATTCATATTATGACTTTACCGATTCATTAGTTTAACAATAATCACATAATCACAATAATTTAGTCAAAAAGGGTAGGGGCGGCAGTGGCTCAGTGGTTCATGTAGGTTGTCTGCAAACCGAAAGGTTGGTGGTTCGATCCCCGGTTCAACCTGACCAAGTGTCGAGGTGTCCATGAGCAAGACACCTAACCCCAGCTGCTCCCGATGAGCTGGATGGTGCCATGTATGGCTGACACCGTCGTCAGTGTGTGACTGGGTGAATGTGAGGCAATATGTAAAGCGCTTTGGTGTCCATTAGGTCTATGAAAGCGCTATATAAATGCAGCCCATTTACCATTTACCAAAATTACTATGACAACTGTCACATCTAGCTGATGTGATCCTAATGATCTGAGTGATCTGTTAGGTTTATATTCAGTGAGCATATCTGCAATATATTGAGGTCCTAACCCATTAAATGATTTATATACTAGTACTAATACTTTAAAATCAATCCTAAATGTAACTGGCAGCCTGTATAAAGACCTGAGGACTGGTGTGATGTGTTAATATTTTCTGGTCCTGCTCAGACTCCTGGCAGCTGCGTTCTGTATGAGCTGCAACTGTCTTATGGTCTTTTTAGGAAGGCCAATGAGGAGGCACAGTAATGCACCCTGCTGGTGTAAGCAAGCATAATGGAGATAAAGGGATAGTTCACTTTGAAATTAATTTTTGGTATGTTTTAGCTTACCTCAAGGGTATCCAAGATGTAGGTGACAAAATGCACCCAAAAGTATATAAATCCTAAAGGAAAACTCACAACTTGTTACTTCACAAAAATTGATGAGCATATGTGTCATAACATGTAAAAGAAGCATGCACAGCTTCATGGAGATCGGACCATAGGTGGCGCTATAACTGTTAAAAAGCATTAAAACCATGTATTTCCAATGGTTAATTGCCTGTATTGGCTGTAAATTGTTTTTTCCATCTATTATGTCAGTGGACAAATGTATGTTTAATAAAATTGAATGCCTTTTGATGCTTTTGTGCTTAACGGCCTTAAAGGCCTAAACTGCTTGAACACCGATAAATGCTGCTTGCAGCTTTAATTATTATTATTATTATTATTATTCTCCCCTAAAACGCATCGTGCAGCCCAAACCGTAAGGGCTAGAGCTCTGAAACTTTGTCAGATGGTAGTACAAAAATCGAGGAGAGGTTATCAAATTATGAGCCCGATTGGCCCATAGGTGGCGCTATAGCGACCAATTGCGCGAAACGGCTCATAACTCCTAGACCGTAAGTCGTACACTCAAGTGTCTTATATCATTGGAAAGCTGGTCACCTGACGAAAAAACGTATATCTCGATTTCATTTTGGGTATGGAAATTTTTCCGCCATTTTGAATTTTGTCGAAAAACTACTTTTGCGAACTAGTCCCTGGTTTTTTGCCCGATCGGAACCAAACCAGTGCAGAAATGTTCTCTGGAGTCTGAAGATCAATAATTATCAAAAAAATGTTGAAATTTCTATTTCCGGTCGCTAGGGAAGCAAAATAAACGTTGTGGGAGGAGCCTATTTTACTAAATTGGCTATAACTCGAGAAGTAAATGAGATATCTTCACCAAACTCGTACACATGTGTACGAGTTCAATTTGAGGTCACAGTAAAAAAAATAGCGACGATTGAACACTAGGTGGCGCTATAATATGAAAAAAACATAAAAAGGGCTATGACCACATGACCGTTAGTCCGATTGACTTGAAAATTGGTATGCAGTGTCTTGGACCAAGGCCCCATGTATATCTATGAGGACATTGGCGTATCTAAAAAACATGGCCGCCATCGGCCAATGAAGTTTGTGCATCTATGAAACAAGGTTAACGAAGCCCGATCGGAACGAAACTCGTTGGGCATGTTTGACTCATGGCCCTAGAGGTCTGTAAGAATTTTGAAAGAAATCGGCCACTAGTTGGCGCTAACGAGTTTTATGGCTCTGTTATCACGTGGTGTTGCACACACCCCCACAATATGTATATCAATTGATAGATCTCCTCACGCTGAACAACTTTGCCTCAAGAACCATTGCTGTCAATCAAATCGTTCGTTAAATATTCACGAATATGTTAAAAACGTACTTTTGCGAACTAGTCCCTGGTTTTTTGCCCGATCGGAACCAGACCAGTCTAGGACAATTCTTTGGACACTCTAGATCAATAATTATCAAAAAAAGTTGAACTGTGTCATTTGTTTTGCTATAACAGGGTCATTAATAAAAGGGGGCATGACAAAATGCACCCAAAAGCCTATAAATCCTAAAGGAAAAGTCAGAACTTCACAAAAATTGATGAGCACATGTGTCATAACTTATTCAACAAGCATGCAAAGTTTCATGGAGATCGGACTATAGGTGGCGCTATAACTGTTAAAAATGTTAAAAACAATGTATTCCCTATGGTAAATTGCCATTATTGAAACTTAAACCTTAATGTCTTTTGATGCTTTTGTGCTTAAAGGCCTTAAAGGCCTAAACTGCTTGAACCCCACTAAATGCTGCTTGCAGCTTTAATTATTATTATTATTCTCCCCTAAAACGCATCGTGCAGCCCAAACCGTAAGTGCTGGAGCTCTGAAACTTTGTCAGATGGTAGTACAAAAATCGAGGAGAGGTTATCAAATTATGAGCCCGATTGGCCCATAGGTGGCGCTATAGCGACCAATTGCGCGAAACCACTCATATCTCCTAGACCGTAAGTCGTACACTCAAGTGTCTTATATCGTTGGAAAGCTGGTCACCTGACGAAAAAAACGTATATCTCCGATTTCATTTCCGTCATGATAGATTTTCCGCCATTTTGAATTTAGTCGAAAAACTACTTTTGCAAACTAGTCCCTGGATTTTTGCCCGATCGGAACCAAACCAGTGCAGAAATGTTCTCTGGAGTCTGAAGATCAATAATTATCAAAAAAATGTTGAAATTTCTCGTTCCGGTCGCTAGGGGAAGCAAAATAAACGTTGTGGGAGGAGCCTATTTTACTAAAATGGCTATAGCTCGAGAAGTAAATGAGATATCTTCACCAAACTCGGTACACATGTGTAAGAGTTCAATTTGAGGTGACAGTAAAAAAATCGCGACGATTGAACACTAGGTGGCGCTATAAAATGAAAAAAACAGATAAACACCTGACCGTCAGTCCGATTGACTTGAAAATTGGTATGCAGTGTCTTGGTCCAAGGCCTCATGTAAGTCTATAAGGACATTGGTGTATCTCAAAAAACATGGCCGCCATCGGCCAATGAAGTTTGAGCATCTATGAAACAAGGTTAACGAAGGCCGATCGGAACGAAACTCGTTGGGAATGTTCGACTCATGGCCCTAGAGGTCTGTAAAAATTTTGAAAGAAATCGGCCACTAGTTGGCGCTAACGAGTTTTATGGCTCTGTAATCACGTGGTGTTGCGCATATCCCCACAAAATGCATATCATTTGATAGATCTCCTCATGATGAACAACTTTGCCTCAAGAACCATTGCTGTCAATCAAATCGTTCGTTAAATATTCACAAATATGTCAAAAACCTACTTTTGCAAACTAGTCCCTGGTTTTTTGCTCGATCAGAACCAGACCAGTCTAGGATAATTCTCTGGACTCTCTAGATCAATAATTATCAAAAAAAAGTTGAACTTTGTCTTTTGTTTTGCTATAACAGGGTCATTTACAAAAAGGGACATGACAAAATGCACCCAAAAGCCTATAAATCCTAAAGGAAAAGTCAGAACTTCACAAAAATTGATGAGCACATGTGTCATAGCTTATTCAACAAGCATGCAAAGTTTCATGGAGATCGGGCTATAGGTGGCACTATAATTGTTAAAAATGTTAAAAACAATATATACCCTATGGTAAATTGCCATTATTGAAACTTAAAACTTAATGTCTTTTGATGCTTTTGTGCTTAAAGGCCTTCAAGGCCTAAACTGCTTGAACCCCGCTAAATGCTGCTTGCAGCTTTAATTTAACTGTTGGTTTTACTGTGTTTTGTGGGATAATAATATAGTGAGATGTAAATGTTCCTCTTCAGGGAGACTCCTCACCGCTGTCTTCTACCGCCGGCAGGATCTGACGGTTCAAGCAGGAATCTGTCGCTGAACCACCGGATGGGGCTTACGCCAAACATATATCCTATACACTATCTACATATTAATCCTTATTCACTCAGAGTCTTTATGGTAGAGATGATCTTACCCCAGTGTCTCCAGTTTACAGTGATGATTCGCCAGTAGATCAGAAAGCTGCTTCACTCCTGAGTCTCCTAGTTTATTATCAGACAGATTCAGTTCTCTCAGGTGTGAGGGGTTTGATCTCAGAGCTGAAGCCAGAGCAACACAACCTTCATCTGTGACTCCACACTCCCACAACCTGTAGAGAACAATGACACACATTAAGCCTATATCCAGAGATAAACACAACACTTAAACTATAAATAACATACTCATTGGTTCAAGTTGTTAAATTACATCAATTAGGATTAGGGGATTGAATATACAGTTTGTACAGTATAAAATCATTATTTCTATGGAAAATCTCCATAAATCATGGAAACCCAACGGTGTGTGTGTGCTTAGTGCATTTGTAAACATTTTAAAGAACGTGTGTGTGTGTGTGTGTTAGGACTGTCTTCATAAAGTATCTTCTTATTAAACGGTCTGTACACTTACAAAGTTCTCAACGCTTTGTTTTGTATGTATGGAGCCTCATTATGTTACTGCGTTAGTGTGGGGCTATTTTGAGCCTTGTTAGTGGTATAAACTAGCGATTTCTTTTTACTTAGTCAATGCCCCCATTACTAGCATATACGCTAAACAGTTTTTAGAGATAAAACTCTTTACATTCGATTATCATGAAAACAAATCTCAGAGAACGATTGACTAGGTACTAGGCATGTGCCGGTATCAAATTTTCATGCTGCGGTTAATTGATGAGCTTTTATCACGGTATACGGTATTATCACGATATTTTAATGAAATTATATTTTAATGCTCAAGAAAAACAGATGCATTGTGGGTCTCTAAAAAACCTCAACTTGTATCACAATGTGTAATTGTGATTTTCGAAACATATGGTAACTAAACCAAATTGTTTAAAGTTTAGTGACAACATGTTACAATGACTGGTAGGTTACTGTTTGTATTATTCAATTAAATTCTTGGATTTGATTTCAGTCTTAATTCAATATTGACTCATTTGGATAAATATTAGGTAGGCCCCAGTCTGTTAATGTTTCTCAAGAAAAAAAAACCTCACATAATGCTGTAAACATACAGAGAGAAATTAAATATAATATTTAGCAAAATACTCCTTGATATTTTTTTCTACTCAACTAATGTGCTGGTCATTAAATGGCTTTTCTGAGGTAAATGTAACGTTTTGTGACACAACTGTTCTCCTGCAGTGTTACTGACCTCTTTCCATGTTTGAAAACACTGATTGATCGTTATTATGTACAAGTAAATATAACTTTCGGTAAGTTATACTGTATCTTTAAATAAAAACGAAAGTAACATGATGATCGGTTTACTTGAACTGAGGAGCAACGATCTGTGATCAGAAGAGCTGATTTATCAACTTCAATTTATCAATAACAACTTTCATATCAAAAGTAACCTGCTCTGTCTAGTCTGTCGGTGTCAGTGTCCTCTTTGCCCTGTGATTTTTCTCTGTGGGAGAGCGTGTGAAAAGTGTCAAATGCGTTAAGCGCCTTTCAGACAGGACGCGGAATGCGCGACGCTGCGGCCGCTTGGTTCAACGTTGCCCTTCAGATACAACGCGATTTGCCATTTTACAAATAAAAAGTTGAACTATTTTGAACTTTAACACCGGCGTGGTCGATGCAGGTCAACGCAGCAACAAAACAACCCTGCGCGTCGCGCGCGTATTCCGCGTCCTGTCTGAAAGTCTCAAGCTTGAGTCTAAAGCGAAATGTCTGAGAGTTTGGCAGCCCTGCGGGGATAAATCGTCGGGAGTATTCCGCCATGCTTGATCCATGTGAGGACTGTTTACATTAGACTGCGCACTGCTGCATGCACACAGTGCTTATACATAATGGGGATTGTTTACATCAGAGTGCGCGCGTGTTCTGCGCAGCACGCAGTGTTTGAGCGGTTGAAGGAAAATAAGCAGCTAATGCGCGCTTTAAAAGTCTAAATTCGAATCTATTATTTTTCACGGTATTTTGAAGAGCCCGCGATAACAATATCGTGCATATTCATTACCGCGATTTATCGCATTACCGAATACCGGCACATGTCTACTAGGTACTAGGGGTGCAACGGATCAAAAAACTCACGGATCGGATCGTTTCTCGGATCAGGGTCACGGATCGGATCATTTTTCGGATCAGCAAAAAAAAAAAAAAAAAAAAAATTCCCCCAAAATAACTGCAATAGCCTGACAAATTCTTTAATAATAAATAGACTTAACATTATGATATTCTGTTTTATTTTAACTTCACAGGGTTCCAGACTGAAAGTTGAGGGCAGCATCACCTCAAATGAGAACTCACAGCGAGTTCTACAAAAAAAAAAAAAAATTCTGGTAGCACTGACAATAAATCACTAAGCTTAATTTAGGGTGTAGATGAAATTAACTTAGTTATTATCATTTATAATGTCTTAATATCAATTAATAAAAGTAGTGAAAATATCATCGTACTTTTTTCATTTTAGGACAATCTTTAAAGGATAAACAAAAAATGTGTTGGTAATCACATAAAAAATTCAAAAAAATAAAACATTTATTTATGATATTATTGAAGTGCTGGGAAAAGATGTGTAGTAGGCTACTTGTAAGCATTTGACTATTTCTTACACATTATCATATATAGGCTGATTTGTGGACTGAAAGCCTTCTATAAGTGTTTCTCCTGGTTTCCACGTCAGCGCTGTTTGATCTGATATGGTTTATAACAGAAACCTGCGCCGAATCGGAGTGTTTCTCACTGGATCTCGTGGTGTTGATGTTATTAATTCTGAGGCGAATTCAATGGATTTCTTCACTGGATCTAGTAACAGTGTCGCGTGAGCGAGATCGGCCCGCGACTGGCAAGTTCGGGGCTTTATTTTACCGTCAATGGATCGCTGCTGCTGCTGCTCCACGGTCCTAATCATAAATGAGTAGCGTATTTTCGTTCCACTTTCATTTTGTTTGCATTCGCTGCTAGGCAACGACTAACGAGTCGATAGATCGCTGATTGCTCAGACGCACATCAGGTTGTGATATTTGTCTCCGTCTCCCTCCCACAGATGTTTACGCGCGCTATTCTTGTCACGGATTCATTGACGCACCGCTTTACCATGCGTTTAACGTGTGGCAAATTTACTGGTCGCACATGTGCGACTGGATGTAAAATTCAGTCGCACACTCTCAAATTTTGGTCGCAGTCTGGTCTGGAGCCCTGAAATGACGCGGGGCGTTCAAGCTTCTCCGTTCCTCCGCTCGCTATGACGAAGCTGTGCGTTGACTGAACAACATGCGCACGTTTTTTTTTTTTTTTTTTTTTTCATAATCAATCCGCGGATCACGTGTGTGCCGAACCGAAGACATTGATCCGAACGGATCACGGATCAGTGATGATCCGTTGCACCACTACTAGGTACCGATGTTTTATTAGACCAAAGGTTCATTGTTCGCCGGAGTTCTCCTTTAATTAACATTAACTAAGGTTAACTACTGTTCATTGTTTGTTAATTAACATACTACATTTTTAAATTAAGGTTTTTATTTGTTAACCATAGTTAAAACTCTATGAACTAACATGAATGATCAAGGTGAAATTGTATTGCTCAAATATTAATGCTGTAAACATTTATATTGCATAATGCACATAGTTCATGTAAACTAGCTAATAAATCATTGTTAACAAATTGGACTAGCAACATAGCTAAAGAAACACACATTTGACATATTTTAATGTTTAAATTATTTTCAGATGGCAAATTTTGTTATTATTTGAAACGTCTTTTTTATTCATTAGGTTGGCTTGAAAAAGAACAGTTAAACAGTTACATTTGGAATGTTTAATTTGTTATTTATAGTATTATTTTTTGTTTGTTTGAAAGAATGCCTTTTATTGACATGTTTTCATGGTTCATACAGTTTTTTGTATTTTTATAATAAAGTTCAGCACTGTTTTACTTGGAGTGTTATGTTTGTTTTTATCCAGTATCAATTTTAAAAACTATCGGTTTATTAATCGGTTATCGGCAAGTACAGCCCAACCTAGCTATCGTTATCGGTAAAATCCAATATCGGTCGACCTCTACTGTTAATCCTGCCTGTGCTGAGATTGAGTGTGTTTAAAGTAAAGGGTGTTAAATGTATGTCATGATGTCAGAGTGTGTTTTTCAGTGTGACTATCAGTCCTGCAGTTTCAGCTTAATGAGGAGCAGCTCATGTGTTCAGTGCAGTGCAGGAGAAACACAGCAAACGCTTTATACATATTAATCCTCGTATCCTGGTTTTAATTTACTGTATTTTATTTTTATTTTCATTATTTCTTATTTTTTATTCTAAACTGTTTTAATTCTTCTGATTTCTTTTGATTATTTTAATTTCTTCTATGTAAAGCACTTTGATTTGCCATTGTGTATGAAATGTGCTATATAAAAAAACTTGCCTTGCCTTGCCTTACATCATATGAACAGACATTAAATTATTTGATGAATTTAATAAGGTTGTTTCAATAGCTTTGCTTGTAATTAATGTAATAATAGTTATTTCCCTGAATTTTATCCATTTGATTTAAAAGCTGAAGTGTGTCACTCATATAATTAGTTAATCCATTAATTTATAATGTTTAAGTAAGAACTGTTATAATGTTTTAGCAGTGATGCTTGTTCTCATTGTTACTTACAGAGCTGATCTAGTTGCTGTAACCACAGGCATCAGCTTCTGAAGAACTTCATCTCCTGTGTTTTGTGGGACACTAATAGAAAATAAAAAATAAACAAGTTAATTAATAATGCTAACAATAATAATACATAACATCAGTAAATAATACATTATACCTTCCTAAATACTCACAAATATATTTTTTAATGAAACAGCTTTATAAAGGACGTGTGTTAGTATCTATAACTGTAGAAGTCTCGTATTCAGCAACACAGATTTGTTTTCTCTTTTTCTTGTCAATGTCGTTTGTCAAGGTCTATTAGTCTACATTTACACTACAACACTATTCTCACATATCAGATTTTGTTGAGTCAAATGCGTATATTTTCATGAATCAAGAAGTATTTTGTGTTAAACAAGTTGTTTTTGAAATGAAAATTAAGCTAATAGTGATAAAGTCACATGGGGAAGCAGCACTGGTGCGCGCACACACACACACACACACACACTCGTGTCATTCCTCCATCACATCGCCACTATCACACAGGAGCGTGCACACGAGATGCTGATACCCCACTCTTCCTTCCAGATCCTTTTCCTGGTCACTTCATACACTTGCACTGTCTCGTCGTTTCCTCCCTGTGTGTGTGTGTGTGTGTGTGTGTGTAGTCAGTCATCCAGCGGAAAGTTGCCAAAACGAACAATCGAGCGGCAGTATCTGATGACGTCACGGCCGAGTCGTGCCGGCGAATTGCAACCGGAAACTGACGAAACAATTCTCTAATGTGAATAGGTTTCTCGTGTGTATTTAAATGCAACCATTATGTGCTGTGTTGTATGTGTGAATTAATTATGTGTTTATAATTGATTATCAATATGTATTCAATGTTATATGTACCTGAAAATGGAGTGATCCTAAAAGGGGCGGGGTTTGGCCTACAGAAACCAAGGCCAAACTTGGTATACAATAGAGTGCCGAAGTTACGACGTCACTGTGTAGGCCAAAACACGGAAGTGAGTTAGCATGTTAGCACTCCCGGTTCCCTCGCACTAAAGCAAATGGGATTTTTGAATGGATTTTTGCTAAATCGCCTGAAATAAGGTCTGTGGTGAACTTTTTTTTTATCTTCACGTTGTGATCTATGACATAAAACACAGTTATAACCTGCTTGCGTTTTTTTGTCTTAAAAATATCTGACGGCTCTATTTAGGCTTCAAAATGTATACATTTTGTATGTAATTTTGTAATGTATAAAAACTCTTTGTTGAACACAGATCTTATTTTTTGCGATTTTCCAAAAGTCTATGGGGAAAATGCATATCTTTTCGATCGAGGGAACCCATGCGCCGCTAACTTCCCAGTTGTCCTACAAAGTGACGTCATCACTTTGGCACTCTATGCAGTCGGCAACTAGTAATAGTTGGGGGCGTGGTCGGCGTGGGGGAAAACACGAGATGGTCCTCACTGCGGAACATGAAATCCATGGGGAGGAGTCGGATCCAAATCCAACTCCTCCCACCTTACATAAACCTAAGCCTAACCAACTCCGCCCCCTGATCCCTAAACCCACCCCTAATCCCTAAACCCAACCCTAATCCTACCCATCTCCACCCCTTGGATCGTGATCCAACTTCTCCCCGTGGATCTCATGTTCTGCATTGAGGTGCTACTGGAAAACACTGTGAATGTTGTGTGTATTTGAATTAGGGATGGGCGATACCAGACTTTTTTTTAATTCGATACCAATATTTTTTTGTTTAATTTTAACAATACTGATATCGATACCATTTAATTTTTTAATTGTACATGTGATTTTTTAAAATAATGTTAATTGTTTGTAAAATTTAAATATTACACTTACATGCAAATTACATCCACATAAACACTGGCCATTAATACATTTATTACAAAAGCAAATTTGACAACAAATAAACAATGTTTAAAATAATACATTATTTTACAAAAAAAAAGTTATTAAATAACAATTCATTATAACAAATATTAATAAAATAAATTATTATAATTAAACATTAATTAAACATATTTTTTCCCATTTAGCAATGTTCAGATAGATATTTAAATTTCAAAGTTTTATTTTTAATTACTGATAAAGATTTTCTAATCTTTAAGCTTCAGATTTTTGCCTGCCATTGAAAAATAGCACCACACCACGATTCGCTTTCTTTCAGCCATAGTGCCGTTCGATGCGGAAGTGTGCAACTGTGCGATGCGTGTCGTGTACATGACGTGTCGTGCATGTGTGGGCAGGGCACGTCGCTCGCTTCTCTCACGGGCCAGCTAAATATGTCAGGCAGGGGTGTTTTTTATTTAGCACAAACATTAAACAGAAGTACCAACAACACTTAATGATGCAGAAATTATTAATATAATTTAAATATCAATATTTTTATAGTGGTATCGATACCAAGTAAGTAGCTTGTGAGTATCGATATATCGATACTGCAGCATCAATGTGCATATCCCTAATTTGAATGACAAAAATGTCATATTGCGAGTCATTGACGCCTGCCGACCGGCAACGGTACATTGCAAATTTAACTGCAATAGGTTATGATTGCCCTTATTTAATTAAAAACTGGGTCAATGATCCAACCAAATGGCTGGAGGTGTCGTTTCCAGATATATTTTGTTATCTGGTTGAATCTCCAGGTAAGACATCTTGGTAGCTGTAGCGTTCAGTGATTCATTCATGGGCGTCAGAACCATTGTGTATGTGTGGGACAAGACCCGCACCCACTTTTTAAGACCAATGATATTGGACCCATTCACTTTTACAGTCTCTAATTCAACACATGTGTCTGTTCACTTTTCAGAGCGCCGTCAGTCAAATCCATTCCACTTGAAAAAAGCCCTAATAAATTTAACTCCGTTCCACATTTTAGCTACAGCGCTGATTTCCACGCTGCTGCTCAAATCCATTCCGGTTCATCCGAGTCCCACCAAACACTTACCAGGACTTTCCAGGCCAATGCGCTGCTGACTCGGATCCCAGTTTCATATGGGAATACAGATCATATGAAGTTTAAAACATTTAAATAGACATATAAAGCAGTAATTAATTAATGTATATGAATCTTAGATGATTATTGGCAATTAGAGCTGGTTTGGTTGCTGAGACGGAGACGCACAGAGGCGGCAATTAATGGGGACCTTCTAAAATGCTTAACGTGAAAAATGCTTACGTGGCTTCAAGATAACATGTATGCCTTCATCTCCGAACACATTATCTGTGTCTTACATTTCATAATGAACTCGGATAAACTCAGTGCCAACTCGTTTTCCAGCAGTTCTTCTACATGAACTGGAATGTGTGCAAAGGATTGTGGGAGATTGAAGAACACGAAGGACACACTTGATGCATCCTTCAAAATGATCTGAAATAAAGACACAAAATGAAGTCTGTCTTCAAAAGATCCTTCAAACTGAGACGGCCTTCAGAGGCGCTTGATGACGTGGCAGTCGAGATATGCAGCCTTACTAGGACACAGCCACGGTTTGAGAAACACCCGCAAATTATGGACAATATCCCAGAAATCAGTCTGAGCCCGTGATTTAAACACCTCTGATCTCTGAGTTTCTCTTTGTTCATAATGTTTTAGACTGTAATGATTGCACTCAGTGTTACTTACCCATCAATACTGACTCCAATTAAGCTCTTCAGGTCAAACACCTGCAGTCTCTCCTCTGAGGACAACAACACAAACACTAAAGCTGACCACTGAGACGAGGAGAGTTTCAAATCACGTAATCCTCCAGACCAAGTATGAGGTTGAGCTTCGTTGACTAGAGAAAGATCCCCCAGTTCATTCAGACAGTGAAACAGATTGATGTATTTCTCTGGAGAGGGATTCTCCCTGATCTTCTCTTTAATATAGTGAACTGTTTCCTCATTGTTGTGAGAGCTGTTTGCTGTCTGTGTCTTTAGTTCTTGTAAGAGACTCTGATTAGACTCCACTGACAGACCCAGAAGGAAACGAAGGAAAAGGTCCAGATGCCCATTTCTACTGTGTAAAGCCTCATCCACAGCTCTCTGATGGAGATCAGATAGGGACACTTTGCCTCCATTAGTTGGTTTGGTAATCTGGTCAAACACATTGATGTTATTGTTGATAAAGGAGAGATGCACATATAGAGCTGCTAGATGTTCCTGAATGCTCAGATGAACAAAGCAGAAGACTTTCCCCAGACACAAGCCCAACTCCTCTCTGAAGATCTGAGTGCACAATCCTGAGTAAACTGATGCTTCTGCCACATCAATGCCACACTCGCTCAGGTCTTCCTCATAGAAGATCAGGTTGCCTTTCACAAGCTGCCGATACGCCAGTTCCCCCAGTTTGACGATCATGTCTTCATCTTTCACTTTCTTCTCATAGTCCTTCTCATGTTTGATGTTGGTCTGAATGAGCAGGAAGTGTGTGTACATTTGAGTGAGAGTCTTGGGAATCTCTCGTCTCTCTGCTTCACTGCACATCTCCTCTAGAACAGTGGCTGAGATCCAGCAGAACACTGGGATGTGGCACATAATAAAGAGGCTCCTTGAGGACTTCAGGTGTGAGATGATCCTGTGGCCAGACTCTGATCACTGATCCTCTTCCTGAAGTATTCCTGCTTCTGTGTGTCACTGAAGCCTCGTACCTCTGTCACTCGATGGACACACTCAGAGGGGACGAGATCCCGCTGCTGGTCTGGAGGTGATCCAGATGAGAGACGAGGGAAGCAGATTCCCACAATGAGGTTCGTCAGCAGCTCGTCCACTGAGGCTGATTCAGTCACATCACACAACCTCACATCGCTCTGAAAATCAAAAACAGACGACACTCATCCAGACCATCAAAGATGAACAGCACTTTTATACTCATCACTGATATGGCCATTTCTCTGGTTTCAGGAAGAAGCGATGAAGAAGATCTGAAAGACTGAGTGTTTTGTCCTTCATCAAGTTGAGCTCTCTGAAAGCCAGTGGAAATATGAGCTGGACGTCCTGATTCTCTTTCCCTTCAGCCCAGTCCAGGATGAGCTTCTGCACAGAGACTGTTTTTCCAATGCCAGCGACTCCCTTTGTCAGCACAGTTCTGATGGGTTTGTCTTGTCCAGGTAAAGGTCTAAAGATGTCACTGCATTTGATCGGTGTGTCCTCTGTTTCTGCTCTCCTGGACTGTGTCTCAATCTGTCTCACCTCATGCTCATTATTGATCTCTCCACTTCCACTCTCTGTGATGTAGAGCTCTGTGTAGATCTCATTCAGGAGTGTTGGCTTTCCCTGCTTTGATATTCCCTCACACACACACTCAAACTTCTGTCTCAGATTTGATCTCAGTGTGTTGAGGACTTCAGCAGCTTTAGAGTCATGGCTGGAAGATTACAATAAGACATTATTAATAAAGTTAGAGAAGTAAATAACCATGAATTAAAAAATTGATTATCTGTATTATGGGGACACATAGGTTTCTGAAATATTTCTATCATTAATCATGTGTTTGAGTGATCGAAATGATATACCTGAGATCAGACTGTGTTTCTCCACTCTTAAACACTTGTGGTTTCTCCATAGACCAGTCACTCTTCACAGACACACAGCTGGACTCTGGGTTTGAGCTCTTCTTCTGGACTGAACTGGGTTCAAAACTAAGTAAAATAAAAAACATACAGACTTATAAATGTTGTGCACTTTTACTGGAA